CAACACAGCTGAAACAACAGTGATAATTTCATCCACCAGATCTTCCATACAGTTTATTCTTCTCATTGCTTCTACTCTTATCACCTCCCTGTCTCACTCAAGCCCACAGTTCTCAGCACTCTCTTTGACTCACGATACTCCTGACACCAAAATATTCAACCTATATTTTAAGTCCTGTATATCCTTGTTAACATAATGAGCATCCTCCGTTTATCCACACAACTACATTCTTGGTCAAGCTACCTCACCCTTCATTTACCATTTTGTCTTTCCTGTGGTGACAGCAGATGTAACTGTGTCCTTGTGTCACGGAAAAGTTGCTGCAAGATAATTTTCCTAGTCTGTGGCTTTGCTTCCTACACAGCTTCTGACTCCTGAATGGCAAACTATCACTCTTTGTGTTTTGACTCTTTCACAGCTTACTTCTTCTTCCCAACACTGACACTCAGCATTGCTGCAAGCTTCCATCTCCGACTGGTCTGATTCAATCACCCCCCTGGTAAACTTTCAAATAAGCACCTCCTCACTACTTACCACTGTGCCTTTTGCTACAGAGAATAACTTCCCATTCACTGCCATAAAGCTACTTGACTTTCCCTCTCAAATGCCTCCTAAAACATTAATACCTACAAATACCACCTTTAGATTAATACCTAGGAAATCAAAGCTGGACAACAACGAGGCTGCCGGCATGCTGAAACAGTGCTGCTGCTGACAGTGTCCCCCCACTCACCTGGCTCCCTTCTCTCTCATCTCATCCTTAACCCATGAGCTGCTCTGTGTTTCTGCAGCACGTAGCAGGATGGGAACCCAGCCCCAAGTGGAGGGATCACAGCACCACAGTGCTGCTCCCCTGCCATCTATCACAGCTAAACTGCACCTGCTCTCGTGCTGCTGCCAACTTCCAGGCACCTCCTGGGACGCTGGGATTAGCAAACTACAGCACGGCAAGGCTGATTCACTTTGCCACAAGCACAGCCTAAGGAACTCACTGGGCTGCTGCAGAAAGTCATGAGAAAAAATTATTTCAAAAGTTTTTGTCTCCACCTTGGATTTAACTTTGCCTGTCCCAGAGGTTGTTTGCTATAGGTAAAACATAAACTACAGAACAAATATACAGTAAGTACTGACTAAACTTAGAAATACAGTTCCATTTTTTGCACATTTTACTTAGCACCACATTAAATGAAGAATGCTTGATATCTAACCCCTGATTTGGAGAGCTCACTTACATGGCGGGGCCATGTAATTAAACTGACAACCCACAATTTCACACAGAGCAGACAGAAGTCCAAGACTGAAAGAACATGAACACTGAATTACTTTTAAAGAAAGAAACAGGCGCCTTTCTTTAATGCAATCTTGAACACTGTTATTAAAAAAATGAGAGCAACATTTTGGAGTAACGAGCAGAGATTACTCATTCCCTTGTTTTACACAAGTTGACTTTTGGCTTTCTGCAGAACACCATTTAACAGAGCACATTACCAAGCTGCTAGCCACTTTTCACAGTGATGCTAAAGCAGGTAAGAGACAATAAGTGGAACTGTTGATGGTTTATATTACTCTATTATGTTAATGTTCACTAAAGTATGCCATAAGCTCTCTCATTACATGTGTATAAACCAATTCTCTGTGGTGTTATTCCTGTGCTAAATGCTATAACTACATAAATCTTGAATTAATGGAGACTTTATAGTTCCTGAAAATGAAGGGTAATTGCTATCTGTTAATGCTGTTGTTGCTATTAAAGGAAGTATATATTTTCAGTAACAATGTTTATGGACCGTGAGCTTCACATCTCAGCTAGCACACAGAGAAGAGACAGTGTAATACAAGTATCAGACTGACTCCCTTTCTGTCCCTCCTCCCTCTCAAAAAGCACAGTATCATTTCCACAGCTTCAGCAAGCAACACTGCAACCCCTCCTTACAGCTGCAGAGCCCAAACAAATGCCCTTCACTGAACACAGAGTAAAGGAAACAGGATTTGCATTTCCATCTCGCAGAACGCATGATTTGCTAAGTTTCTCGCTTGGTTAAATGGCTGGACAGCTCACTTTATTAGTTTGGGTAACTCAAACAGTTCTGTGAGAAGCACATGGTGACAGAATGATAGGTGTGAGAAAGTATCATCCCATTTACTTCCTCTGAGATTTCAGCAGTGATGCAGAAGTGAAAGGCTATACTTGGCCAGAGACAGTTCTCAGAAAGTAGATGGGATTGACGAGTCCCCTGATTTGAGCTCCTCTTCTCCAGTTATTAAAAACAGCAGTGCAATGTTTGGAAACACTCATGGTCTGCTGTGAAACTGTACCTTGCACTGAAGTAATGGCTCCTCTCTCTGATACACTGTATGTGTGACTGACTATGCTCAATTGCTTTCCTCCCCTGGAGCCTCGCACAAGGTAAAAACCCAAACCATCAGGAGTGTGTTAGTATTTTACAATGCAGGGAAGGTAAAACCTTAATTTTACTCTAACATCTATGTTTGAAAACATTAGGAGCTCAATAGCCCATACACCTATGAACTAAATAAATAGTGGATAATTACTAGCATGGTACAGAGAGAGAAGTAGGAGGTGGAAAATTTCAGTTTTGCTTCTAGCTCCGTTGCTGACTCAGTTTGTACTTGAACATGAAATTTTTTTGTCTGCTTTCCTCGTGAGTTTTATGCAGGCAACACTGGCCCGCTGTTTATGACTAACAAAAAATGTTATGCAAATCAAAAGTACATTAGTAATTCCTGCCCTGCCCTTCCTCAGTGCCAGCATGTGTAGGTGTACCTTGAAAATGCTGGTTCTTGCTGACCAGGCAGCAGAGCAGCATTGCTCTGCAGCAGTGGGGAAAGAAGCCAACCCATCACGTAATTTGGGAAGGCTGGTGCTGGGCTAGGCACTGTGCTGAATCCTCCACCTGCCTGCAACAGCCTGGGAGCATTGGCAGGAGGTACATTTTGCCATCACAGGGAGGAGGAAAATGGGTGCAGTCCCTCAGGACGGTCACACCAGAATTTTTACAGCTCTTTGTTGCATCAGTCAGGTTAAGTTTTAGACAAACACTGAATGAGTTTCCAGGGGAGTGGAGAATGTCAGGTATCAACAGAGCGAGTCAGGCTGTCCCCGTTCTCCCCAACTGGAAGTCAACGTTGCACTTACACTATCCCCACGAAAGGCTTGAAGCATCTTCAACCCTGAGAGTTTATGTGCACGTGCCCACATCTTTGCTGACAAGAAAAGCAACCCCACTTAATTCCAGAGACCTATGTAATAGGAGACTGTGTCATGTTTTACGTCTCTGCAGATCAGGCAAGAGATAGAAAGATGATAATCTTGTGCTGCTCTCCTTATGAAGAAATGTTATTATTAAGTCAGAGTCACCTTAAGGAGAAGGTAGCTGGGAAATAGGTGAGCCTAGAAAGTCAAATTACAGTTACAGAAATGTAAAGAAATGTCATATTAATGGTAAGGAACACTATAATAGCCTTTCATTTGTTGTAAAGGACAGCAAGTTACCAGCCAAACACAATGCAGCTTCCTCTGAAGGTAACCTCAGATCCCACATTCTGAAAGCTAATCAATGTTGTTCAGATTTCAATTTCTTCTCTACAAGGTGAAGTCAAACCTAATCTAACAAACGTCAGTCTCAGATGTAATGCCGCTAGCTGGGTCTACCAGTGTAATTTAGATAATCATTAATAGCATAGCTGTATAATAAAACTACATGTCACTTACAACTTCATCTGAGGTTTGACTGGCAGATCTTTAAACAGTTTTCTAAGTGATTGCTTTTACTTCCTTTGATTGGGCAGTCAAAGAAACGTTTTAACCCCATGGTATCTAAGCTTTTAGGGAATAATATTTCACCCTCACCACCCCCTGCTGTCAGCTCTGCTGCTGTGTAACCTTGTAAGAAAGAGAACTTGGGGAGAGGGGTGCTTTCAGTGAGCGAATTTATACATATATACTCGTATAAATTTAAAATAAGATAAAATAAAATATGTACAGTATCTTTCATTCAACACACAATTTAAATGTTGCTCTTCAATCAAGCCGCCATCTCAAAACACAGCTTTTGCCATACTCCAAGAATATTTAGTATCTGATGGGATTTTTAAAAGAAAAAGTTGAAGAAACCCTGATGTTTCTAAAGCTCTAACAATACTAACAAAAGGCTTTCAAAGTAGTCTCTTGAACTCATGGTAACCTCTGATGCAGCTGGGTGTGCTGCTGAGGACACAGGGCTATCTGAAGTCAGCCTTTACTTGTGTAATGCTGATCCAGGAGAAAACTCTGTGCCACAGCTCCTCATCAATGAATGCAAGAGACTGTATAGCCAAAATATAATAAAGGTTTGATGAAGAGCTGACCTGAGACTGACAGGTTTGATGTGCCAGAAGCTGGCAAGGAATACTCAAGTCTTTTATATATTTGATGTTTAAAAGCATGGTGCCACTGGTGCTACACAGTGGGACTTGTCTGTTTTCCTTGCAGAGGTGAACAAGAAATCCCCATACACAAACTACAACCTTTCAATGACCAACCTCTGTATTCAAAAGAAGGTCAGAAAAATCATTGCTCTGTGATAAATATGCATGCAACATGACAAAACACCCCTTGACAGTTACCACAGTGCCTTGGGAGGGCAGGTCCCATCTTCTAACTGATTACAAGACATCTTCAAAGGTTACTATATATAAAATATTGGCTCCTGACAAGTTATCAGAGGAAACCTCCACTGAAACAGCACTAATGTTACAACTCAGGTCTCACAAAATGCTCACATGATAATCAATAAAGACTATTATGTTAACGGGACTCTCTTTCCTGTAAATAGAAGCTAGTGAAGATCACAGAGTAGCTGATCTGATGCTTTTTCATTCAGTTGTAGATATTTTAAAATTTGACATGAAGACTGGAGGAAAATGTTATTTTCAAATTCATTCTTATTTTGACTATCAGGGAATTTCCAAGCATATGAAATAAGAAAATTCAGTCTTACCTTATCGTCAATATCGCTCTCGCTGTCACACTGTGGATTAGAGAGAGAAAAAAAGATTTTGAGAAACACCTTTATGTACAGGGATCTTTTGCATCATCCTCTTAAATCTTTAGGATAGCTGTTTATGATGTTCACAGCTCAATGAAACACACTTCTGATGTCTGCAGTAATGCCCTGTACATTGCTAGCATAAACCAGACAAAGACAGATTCTCTCTTACACAGATTTAAGGTGCACTCTTACTTGGATGGGGGAAAGCAAACTTTAAATTAAAAAAGACAATCAGTGATACATTATAACAACCACTGTAACATGAGTACCACAACAAAAAGCATGCCTTTTTATCATCCCAAATCATGGAATATATAGTAACGGTTTTGCATTGCTTCACCTTGATAAGCACTTTGTCATCTAGCAAGGAAACTGTGAAACAGGCAATCAATTTCCAATTTAATGAGTGGTACCAAGAATAGTAATTAAAATACATCATAAATTTGGGTACATTTTTTAGTTTGAATGAGATCACGATCCCAGAGGGAAGTGTTTACTTAAAGAGTTTTGGAGTGCAATCTCTTTCAGGCTCTGAAAATGAAATACTCTCTTTTCACAGCACAAATGATGGAGAGATAACTTGAGCACTGAACATTTCAGGACAAGCACATCTTGCTGGCTGGAGCTCAGAAAGATTTACAGCTGGGAACAGCAGTAAATCTCTTGGTGTCTGTTATGCTGACAGAAGTGGTCAGTGTGCTCTGTAGCCTTGGTGTCCAATGGGAATTTTCTCCTTCAGCCAAGTGCTGATGGGGATGGCCTGGTGGGTTCCTGTAACTGGCAGCACCCTATAGAGCTCGCTGGGTCAACAAGAGGAGACTCTGCAATCCAGCAGTGACAACCTCCAAATGTGGATATGGGCCATGAGAAAGCATATGATTCAGGGTCATGAATGTAAAAGAAGGAATAGATCAGTTTGGTCATTTTGTCCAGATTTCCTCCTGGAGTGGGGAAGAGGGATCTTTCCTGTCACATCCTTTTATCCTCAAGTCACACAGCAGAAATTTCAGCTGTTACATTCTTAATTTTCTGCTGATTTATGAGAGAATATTTAATCTCTTCTTCTATTTGGCACATGGAATGACTGACTTTAAATACTTGAGGAACCTTTTATTTTTAAATTATCTGAAACACACCAAGCACACAAACAGCTCCAATATATTGGAGGAATCTCCCACAGTGATTCTGCTGTGAAGAGTGCTCAGCTTCCCAACTGACACCTTATTCCCATTTTACTGCAGTGAAAATGCTTGGTTTAAGGAATCTGTTTTTCTATGGTCTTGACTAAGCAGAACTCTTTTTATTCCAAAAGGAAACCATTTTATACTGTCTCACATGATCCACAGCCTGTTTTTCACAGAGAAATCTGACTGTTTAGCAGAATGTGCACAGATCTAATTGTATGTGTAACCATTCTGAAAAAGAAAGAACCTGAAGAAAAATGGAAGAAGTAATAAGACACTGCCTTGCAGGGGCCAGGAGCTGTGGGTGGGCAAGCTCTATGGGAAAAAACTAGAGTAATACCAGCAAACTGCACAAAGTCCCAGCCAATTGCTTTGTAGTAGGCAAGAATATCAGATAGTCATCCCTTTAGTAAATACCTTGCCATAAGCCATTTGTGCCTTTTTGTGACTTTTATTCTGTCACTGACCTTTATGAAAATTATAATATGAAACACAATTTCTGTTTTTTTTTTTTCACAAACCAAAAGTAAAATCAATCCTGATAAATCACCACGAGCAGCCATCTGCTGACTTCCCCAAACCTGTGTCACGCAACCACAGACAATTAGAAGTGTCTGCTCTGGGCCTGGAATGGGACTAATTGTCCATCACATTGAGACATGCTGGAACAGGTTTGCTGGGCAAAGGCTGCCCCAGTACCTGCTGCATTTGTGCTTGCCCAGGACAGTGATAATTCACGCTGACAGAGCAACACATTCATCAAAACCGAGGTGGGGGTGGGGGAGAACGCAGCACAGCAGTCCACTTCTCATTATTTACATGCTCCTGAGAAACACTGGCTGAGTGGAGGGAAGCCTTTCACCTCCACCCAGGGGGAGCTCAAATCAAGCCCTAATGCTACAGGGACTGTGCATTCCCCCAAATTATTGGCATAATGGAGTGGGTCACAAAGACCTTGTTATTTTACCCTTTAAAGCCTGGCTACACGAAAACATCCTACGTTACCAATTTAATCCTGGTGCTCATTCACATGAACACTTGTATTTTAGAGGCAGAATATTTTGACTCTGTGATTCACTGTTCAGACTAAAGCATGTTACAGTAGAATTACACCTACTGCAAGAATAGCATAAAGATAAGCCAGCACACTCAGCCATAGGTCTCTTCAAATCATATGCTTAGACAAGATCAACACAAATTTTAATTCCAACAGCGCTTAAAAATTATACACTGGATTAATAAAATAACCAAATAAATTAAACTTTGAAATCCATTCACTAGAAAGCATTCAAAATTATCACTAAATCTCAGATACTTTTACCTAGGAGTCTTGGTTTAAAAAAACCTCAGTACTGTAAACATTACTAAATTTAGCTTAAAAATATTTGAGATGTAAACAATTTTTTTGAACTTTAGTAACCATTATTATTCAAATACAAGGTAGCATTTTAGTCTTCTCTGGTTTTATAACAGAACATATCTTCCTAATTTTTACTGCATTATGATGTTAAAAAAAGAGACAAAAGGGTTTTTCTTGTTGAAAACAGATTTGACTTCCAAAATTTGTATACCAATAATGAGTATAAAGCCCTCTTACAGAGCTTACATTACTAAAAGGTGCAGAACTGCTTTATTTAGGTGCCTAATTTTGCTTTGTACCAATATGCAACTTTGTCTCATGTAGATAAGTGAAAGTTGCAAAAAGCCAGTGAACCATCAAATCCACATGCTAGATTTTATAAACAGACATATGAACGAAGCAAACATCTGCTCTCTGAGGATACATTTTTCCCCATTCAAGATCTGTAAAGACTTCATAATTAATTGCTTTTAAAATGGAAAAGACAGCAAAGAATTTAGTTTCATTTTAGCTTACATCTTCCTTACTTTAATCATGATTGCATCAGACTTGAAACTGCAGAAGGCAGCAGGGCTGTGGATGCAGATCCACACGTCAATGTGGCTCCATGTGGACACAGAGCCTTCTGTGAAGCTGTGACTACAAGATGAGTGGTTTAAAAACTGCATTTGTGGCAGTGAGTTGCCTAATTTCTTGTCTGCCTTGTGAAAGCAAATCCTCTGCCCCCTCTAGGATCACTCACACTCACAAACTGTCCCTTGTACTGGTTCCTACCTGGCTTTAAACCACCAGAATACTTATCTTAATCCATGTGAGGATGTTCCAAACTGGCCTACGGGATGAGAGAGCATGGGGAAGATTTAACACATTGATATTTATAAAATTTGGACTTCTACTTAACATACAAGAAAATAAAAACTTGAGACTCATGGCTACCAACCTATGCTAACCTCCCACCGACTCCTGAAGCAAATACAACCACCTTTGGTGGAAAAGGCCCCAAGCTGCAGAATTCCCACAGGTTTTCTTTGCTTTATGTAAAAGGAACAGGCAAGTGTGGGAACACTTGCATCAAGAAACAGGAACCCAGAGGCTGCTGAACGAGCAACAGCCCAGAAAAACAGACGACAGCAAAACCAAACGGGCCCAGCCGGAGCTGCGAAAAGCAGAACCACTGCTGACCCCTGTCCCTCCCCTTGGCCGGGGTGTGATTGTTGAAAACCCCCGGTTTCGAAAGGCTGGTTCAGTTTTGTGGGAATGTTTCAGCCTCTGCACGGCCCCTCTCCTCCAGCCTCCTCCTCACCCCTGGCCCAGCACAGACACCGAGGCAGGACTGGATCGCCGGGATGTTGGAATGGATATGCGGTCACGGGAGAAACTTTGGTTTGGCCACAGAGGATTTTCTGTGGCTTAAAAGCCAACATATCCCGTGTGAGGAGGAGGAGGCCATGCTGCGAAGGCTGAGGCCACCACCCGGCCAGGCTCACCTCCCACGCTGCTGTTGTTGAGGGACAAAAGCCCTTGTCAAAACAAAAAAAGTTAAAGAAAATGTGGAGAATGGCAACTGTTGAAAGCAACGGGGGCTCATTGAAAGACAAAAGCTTCAATTACCTGATTTTTCTAAAGTCCTGTTAACACTCCTGGTCTATAAGCAGGACTGTAAACAGCCATTGTACAGGGTTCATAAAGGCTCCTAAAGGGATTATTCACTGGGTTGTGCCAATTGCATCTCAATTCCACCAAGAATGTTTGCAAAGTCGAGCCCTAATTGTGCAGCTTTTTGGAAACAATTTCTTGCAGTGACAGATTCCAGTCAGAAGGAAGCCTCCCATGAGGTGAGGTTCAGCAGGACAACACAAAACTCAGGAATCACAGAAGGAGCATCCATGTGTGTAGACTGGGCCTTCTCATTTTTCTGATGCCTGGGGTGAAATTTCTCTTTACAAGACCCCTTTCCATCATGGCTTTCCAACCAGGCAAGGACGTGTGATGCATTCCATCACCTTCTACAAAGCACCTCAAGGGGGGACAAAGATGAATTAATGGCTACTGTAAAACAGGCAACAGCGTACTTGGCAAAGGACCTTCTCTTACCTTTAGACTGGCATCGAGCTCCTTGCAAGCTATATTAAAACTGTACTATGATTCTCGTTTTCTGGTGAGTTTAGGAATCAGGAGAATGTCCTACGACTCTTTTCTTACCCCCAATGTTTTAACTACTACATCATACAGCTTTTCTTGACATAATAAAAACACTGCATTGATTAACTGACATCACATAGTCATGTAAACTGTCTCGTACCAGGAATAAGAGCTTCAAGAAACGAAAACAAAACCACCCAAGTCTCCTCAGACTCCAACAAGACTGGCAATACCTGGATATTATGTCAACGATGGGTGTAGAGAAATATGGTTATTTCAAATGGAGCCACTTC